ATGGCTGCCAAGGGCTAGGGATGCTGAAGGTGAAAGAAATCTTTGTGGTGACTGAAAAACTGTGTATCTTGATTGCTATGCTGGTAACATAATCAACATGTGGTAAAATGACATAGAACTATAATACATATTGTACCAGTGTCAATGCCCTGGTCTGGATATTGTACTGTAATTCTGTCAGATGTAACCGCGGGGAAAACGAGGTAAAGGCTGGTACATGGGGCTTCTCTGTACTATCTCTGCAACTTTCTGTGACTTCCATAATTATTTCACAGTAAAAAGTTAATGAAACATTCTACTCGAAGATGAATTAAAAAAAGTATCGTGTAATCAGGAAAGTTTAAAACTCTGATACGCAAAAGCTTAGAAGCATTAAACTACATATCCCTCAATACTGGCTGCATGTCTCCCTTCAAAATTCCACTTGTCACTCTGTAAAATGTACATATGAGAAAGCACAGACCTTTTAACGTGTGTGCCCAAGACGAGTTGAGAGGTGGCCAACACAAGAGCAAACAAATCTGCTGCACCAAACAGGAGGGTAGTTTTAAAATTAATTTGCTCTGCTCCTTTCATTCATATATGTGAAAAGTAAACTCCATCATTAAGATGTACTAGTTATGATTAACTTGTTAGACTAATAATCAAGTGCCACGGTGTCTTCTCCAAGTAGAGATCCCCTCAGAATGTGATGTTCTGTTCCTAACCTCAAGTGTACAATAGTTCCAAACCACTGCCGTAGAGTTGAATCCCGACTCATCGCGACCCTATAGGACAGAGCAGAACTGCCCCACAGGGTTTCCAAGGAGCGGCTGGTGGATTCCAACTGCCAGCCTTTCGGTTAGTAGCAAAGCTCCTAAACACTGTGACACCAGGGCTCTTTATCTATCATTGTAATAGCTAAGAAACAAAGGTAACAAGAAGCGCAATGACATAGGCCTCCCACAAGAGGGCAGCAGATTATCAATTTTTAAAAACTTCAAACAGAGGAACTCTGTACTTAGCAAATGACCTTCCACTGATGATTTTAAATGTACAAAGGTTAGTCACCCTTACTAACAGGAAGTTGAAATATTTTCTTTTACCCTTCATGAATGTAAAGGTTTCTCCCACCCCCACATCTCCGGGCAAAAATCTAAAGAAATTATATAATCTGTAGATACATTCCACTTCTTCGAATATAGTTTTGTTTCAAATACCTACTACATGTTCTAGTTACTACTCCTAAAATCAGTTTAGCACAGGGTTTGTCAAACCAGACGGTTGTTTTTTATTTTGTTTTTTTCACTACTCATGAGCTTAGGAATAGTTTTTACATTTTTAAATGGTTGATAAGTACTTACATAATATCCTCAATTTTGCCTCTTGGCCCCCACAGCCTAACAAACTTACTGTCTGTCCTTTAAGAAAAAACGAGGGCGCCCTTTGGTGTAAAAAAAAAAAATCTCTCAAAATAGTCTCCTATAAATTCCTGCACCAAACATTAATAAAAGACATGTAATTCACTTTCAAAAGGTAATTATCCCTAATATAAACTTCACAAAATCTAAAGTAAATGAGTATATGCCCCAAATTTTACTTGGATCCACAATTAACACCCACGGAAGCAGCAGTCAGCAGCAGTCGGGAAATCAAATGACGTATTACATTGGGCAAATCTGCTGCAAAAGACCTCTTCAAGTGTTAAAAAGCAAAGATGTCACTATGAGGATTAAGGTGTGCCTGACCCCAGCCATGGTATTTTCAACCACCTCATATGCATGCAAAAAGCTGGACAATGAATAACGAAGACTGAAGAAGAAATGATGCATTTGAACTATGGTGACAGCGAAGAATACTGAATGTACCGTGGACTGCCAGAAGAATGAACAAATCTGTCTTGGAAGAAGTACAGCCAGAATGTTCCTTAGAAGCAAGGATGGCGAGACTTGTCTCACGTACTTTGGACATATTATCATGAGGGACCAGTCCCTGGAGAAGGACATCATGCTTGGTAAAGTAGAAGGTCAGCAAAAAAGAAGAAGACCCTCAACAAGATGGGTTGACACAGTGGCTACAACAACGGGCTCAAGCTTAGCAACGATTGTGAGGATGGTGCAGGATCGGGCAGTATTTTGTTCTGTTGTACAGAGGGTCACTATGAGTCAGAACTGGCTCAATGGCACCTAACAACAAAATGCCTAAAATTGAAGCAATAACTTCGGCATAAGTAAAACTCTATGGGTTCTCTAACACAAAATAAAAAGGGAGGGGCCTACAATTCCTGTTTTATGACACCTGATTTTTATACCTAGAATTTTCTAACTAATGAGAAGTTTGAACTCTATCTAAACCTTCATAATATATCTTGGCTCAATCTACTTGTCCTTAAAACCACTGCCATGATGCTGATCTGAACTATCATCCTTTGTCTCTATCAGTTCACAAACCCGGCTCATCGTAACTGTGAGTGTGACACTTCCTTGCTGTGAAGGGCTGTGTGTGCACTGCAGGATGTTTAGCAGCATCCCTGGCCTCTACTAGTAGCACCTCCAAAGCTGTAACAACCCGAATGTCTCCAGACATGCACAAATGTCCCTTTGAAGGCAAAATTGCCCACACAGAGAACCAACGATCTAGACTAACCGTCTCCAAATTAAGCTGCATGTACTCACAGGATGTGCAAGAAAATATTAAAATTGCTACTTATAAGTTTCTATTATCTACTTACATACTTTGGTGGGTGGACATGCAAAAAAGTCTATTACCAAAAGCGAGGCCATATCAAAATGCCGTGGAAGCAACTGGCAATGGCTTTCCAACTGTTCTTCCTACTCTCTCCACGCCTTCAAGGATTTTACACAGCGGCCAGGTTTTTTTTTGTTTTGTTTTTTCAATATAAATAAAATTGTAACATGCCAGAGTTTAACAACCTTCAACAACTTCTCAATGCACTCAGAAAAAAATCTCAAAACTTTATATGTGTGGCCTACAAGGTCCTGCATGGCCTGGCCCTTTATCGCTTCGCTCCAGCTCTTTCCCATCGTAGGGCATTCAAGCATGCTCTTCCTTCTGTCCAGAATGTTTTTCCTCTACTCTTTGTCTGGCTACCTCCCTTCTTATCCTTCAGCTCTTGGACTAAAGATCACTTTCTTAGAGAGACTCTTCCCTGCCCCTCTGGCTTTAAAGACAGCCACTTCACCTCGCTCACCACCACCTGATTTACCACATCTGCGGTTCTGCTGAGCCTGTCTGTGTAACTATACATGTGCATTTACTTTTTAAGTATCTCTCACCCCTACTAGAGTATAAGTTCCGTGAAAGCAAGGATCATGCTCAATAAATACTTGTTGACTACATGGAATCAAAGGTACTAAGAAAATTCACTCTCTTAAAACCTTTTGTTGGAAAAACTTTCAATATAGAAACAGAACATACTACAAAAGCACTGGACTATGAATCAGTCCCCTCTGTGGAAACTAGATTTCATGATCTGAGGTCTGGCTATAAAATCTTGTCAATTATTTAATCTCTCATGGGAATAGCAGACTGATTCCTGAAATGAGGAGGGACTGGCAGCCTGCCTCAATTCTGTTAGAGGAAATGAAATACAAATACTGAATGACAAGCCCACCACGCTAGGACCACATTCTCTGGCTCCGAGCCCAGTCAGTGCTTATTATACTAGACTCCACTGCTACCTACTCTTTTCTCTTCCTTTTCTTTTTTGACCTATGTAATCTGTGACAAGAAAACCTACTAGTAGAAGAGTGATTTCTTCTTCTTTGCATTAAAACTTTCATGCTTCAAGGGGGCAGAGTAGATATACAAGGACAATCAATCACGGGTCAAGTAATCTAAAAGAACGTTTTCCCCATTATTTAGAATCAAACTTGGGGCTCCTTTAGACAGACAAGATGAAAAGGCAGAATGGGAAAGTTTTAAGTTCATGTGTAGGTTAATATTTAAACTAATGTAAAATCTACAAACTTCTAAAACCTATAAACTTATAAAATCCAAGATCCTCACTATACAACTCAATAAAACAGGACTGTTATAATGAGAAAACAGAAGACAAAAGAATATTAACAATGGATTATCATTAGCTCAAGGGAAAAGAAATGAGTAGGGACCTTAAAAAGCATCTACAGCTCAAGCTCTTAGTTTTACAAGAAAACCGTTGCCCCGAGATGTTATATGACCTTCCCATAGCTAACTGCAAAAGAGGTCACGGTAAAAATTTAAGAGCTTCTATATTAAAACCCATTGCCACTGAGTTGATTCTGACTCATAGCGACCCTATAAGACAGAGGAGAACTGCCCCAGAGGGTTTCCAAGGAGCAGCTGGTAGATTCGAACTGCTGACCAAAATTTTGGTTAGCAGCCGAGCTCTTAACCACTGCGACTGTGACAAGCAGTTCTGTGCCACAAGGGAACTGACACCATCACTGTATCATTTCACACTTCAACAAGCAGCAGTCAAACATTTAAAATGAAAAATGTTGGTCTATAAGATAAAACTTTCATTTTCTAGGGCAGTGCAAACAGGATACTTTGCAATGATGGAAATGCTCTTTCTGTTCAATTCAGCAGCCATGAGCCACACGTGGCTAATGAGCACTTAAAATGTGGCTAGTGGGGCTGAGGAGCTAAACTTTTCATTTTACTCCCTTTAAATGAATTAACTTTCTCCCTACTATTTATAAATCACAATCAAACAGCTGCATGTGTTTAGTGTTGCCATAACAGACAGCGCAGGTCTACAGAATCCACTCCCATGAAATCCTTCGTCTCTACCCAAAACTGGATAAATGCTGTGTTCTTATATCACTCTGTAATGTAAGATATAAGGACTTAAGAAGTGCTTAATTGTGTGTGTGGTGGTGGGGGATCATATAATGAAAATCACTTTCATTTGGCAAAAGCATGCCTAATGCACTTTGAAAAGATCCATTAAATTCGGGTGCAATTCACTAGAACTAAACAGCACACATTATAGTTCCCAGTTGATAAATACTCACACATTGTCTTCCAGGCAAATTTTTGGGCCCACCACGTTGGCTGCTCCACTTGCCATTTTAAAAGCAAAATGCTTCTCAGGGCAAGCTTTTGAGATGCCACATTTGTATCTTGGAGGCTTAGTAGCTTTGGAAGAAAAAAAAAGGATTCTTTTTTAGAAAAGAATATTAATAGGTCCTATAATCAATTTGTTTCATCTCTTAACCACCTGAGGGTATTATGTAAAACATCAAGATATACATCTTAAAATACATGCTGGAATTTTTCCCCCCTGCAGGTTTCAAAGAACCTCAAAAAAAAAAAAAAAAGAGAACCTCCTGGGAAACAAGCTAATGACTGACGAAAATGGGTCAAATGATATGACCTTGACTAGGTAAATACATTTCATCTAATTATTTTTCAGTTTTTAAAATTTAGGATGAGGAGAGGTTTTGAATTGTTACTTTACATTTTCAGTCCATTTACGACCAACAAACATATACCTTCAGAACTAGAAAAAAGCTTGCCATATTGCTGACTACCTGCCCATGTACCAGTTCTAACTAGGAATTCTCCTTTTAATCCTCCATGTCTTTCTTTACTTTTAATCCTAGAGCTAACAGATGCTAATGAAACAAGATAGTCACTATGAATAAATGCCCAGTCTTCTGGGCTGTCCAATCAAATAGTGTCCTTATAACTTTAAAAAGTCATTTATAAATGGATTGTGCTCACACTGAATTACATACATTGTTAGAATACAAGTTCTCATAGACCTAGGATAAGACAGAAAAAATCATCTGCAAAATATTTGGAGATGAACTACTTACAGCGGGCAGCTGTGTCCAATGCTGACCTTGCTAAGAAAAAAAAAAAAAGTTATCTTTGTTAGATGGAGGAAGGCTACTGGCAAGGATCAACTTTTTAAACATACTTAGAGCTTCTAATCCAAAACCTGTGGCTGTTGAGTCGATTCCGACTCATGATAGGCCTATGAAAATAAAAATGTTTGAATTACTGCTCAGTATACAATACATAAAACACGAACATTGCTCTAGAGAAAATGAGAAAGTAACTTCAGTATAATTCTCTATTAACAATTATGTAGATTAATTATGGAGGGTAATATTTTATTACTGATAGAACAGTTCATGTTTATCTTTACACTTGGTTTTTACTTTTAGTTATTATAAATTTAAATCCCAACTGGAAAGCTACTCTACAAACTTAAATTATTATCAGTACGTACTTGGTGACAACTAGAGTGTTTAAAAAGTTGCTGTTGCTGCTGTATGGCAGGTATATATGCATATAAAGCCCCAGAGATAGAGATATACATATACATATCTTAGTAACTAGGTTGGGAGATTTTTCAGGGGGACGAGAGGTTAATTTCTTTAAAATAAAAATGTATCGGGTATAATAAAAAATAATTATGGTTATTACTAAGAGTTTTATAATTTATCAAGTTCAAAGAAGCCAGAATCTTCCGGTCAAATCTTAACTTGAATGTAGTAGAACTGAAAATGGCCACCTATCACAATTACCTTCTGTCATGGATTGAATTGTCTCCCTCAAATCTATGTGTTTAAATCTTAACCCCTATGCCTGTAGTTACAATCTCATTTGGGAATGGATTTTCTTTGCTGTGTTAAGAGGCTGTATCAGTGCAGGCTGTGTTTTAAGCCAATCACCTCTGAGATATAAAAAGAGCAGATCAGGCACAGAGAAGTAAGCAGAGATGTGGGAGAACAGATGCCATGTCACGTGAAGATCACCAGAGCCAAGGAACAGAAGCTGAAGAGACAAGGACCTTCCCCTAGAGCCTACAGACAAAGTCTTCCCTTAGAGCCGGCACCCTAAATTCAGACTTCTAGCCTCCTAAACAATGAGAAAATAAGTTTCTGTTGGTTAAAGCCACCCACTTGTATTTCTGTTATAGCAGTACTATAACATGACACCTTCGGAGTGTTTTACAAGCACTAGCACTTGATCCCAGCTCAGAAGATTAGAATTCAGATCATCAAGTACTGTGGACAGCCATTTCCGGACTGGGGTAATAGGTATGTAGTGTGATAAACGTTCAGCCAGTTGTCTGGCTATAAATAGTCACTTAGCTTTTAGTTCAACACTATTTTAGATAATTGAGCATTTCCTATGAGTTCAATACCCAAACTGGGGGACAGAGTTAAAGCTGAAAAAGCTATTACATAAATGTTTAAAAGGAGAAAAATAGCTAAGTAAATTATGATTCATTAACTCAATAGAGCACTCAGAATATACAGCACCATTAAAAGTCATAAAACTCAAAACCAAACCCACTGCCGTCAAGTCCATTCCGACTCATAGTGACCCTACAGGACAGAGTAGAACTGCCCCATAGGGTTTCCAAGGAGCGGCTGGTGGATTCAAACTGCCAACCTCTGGTTAGCAGTCAAGCTCTTAACCACTATGCCACCAAGGCTCCAAAAGTCATAAAGGCAATGTAAAACCATGGAAATCATTTATGAACTGCATGGAATAAGGCAGAAAACAAACTGCACCCATACCATAACCATAACTACTACAAATATTGGTAGATAAAGACAAAGACATGAAGGAAACAAAAAAAATGATCAACTGATAAATTAATGTGCTGTGATGACTTAGGGCCTGTCCTCTCAAATTCCTTAATTATGTCATTTTTGTAATAAATAAAAGGGGAAAATAATTAAAGAGACATCTGGTCCATTAGAAATGAGAAAACGAAAAGCTTCATAGGATGTTGTTGTTGCTGGGCATTAGCAAGTCAATTCCTACACATAGAGAGACCCTACGAGACAAAGCAGAACTACCCCATAGGGTTTTCTTGGCTCTAATCTCTACAGAAGCAGATCACCAGATCTTTCTCCCATGGAACCACTAGATGCGTTTGAAAGGCCAACTTTTCAGTAGCAGCCGAGCACTTAATAGTTGCACCACCAGGGCTCCTTTGCTAGATAGGACGGACTTGCTCAAATTCTGCAACCAGTGATGAGCAGCACAAGGACGACCTGTAAAACCTGTTGCCGTCAAGTCGATTCTGACTCATAGCAACCCTACAGGACAGAGTTGAACTGCCCTATAGGGTTTCCAAGGAGCGCCTGGTGGATTCGAACTGCCGACCTTTTGGTTAGCAGCCACAGCACTTAACCATTATGCCACCAGAGTTTCCAGCACAAGGACTAGAAATTCTCAATTTCACTTTGTCCTAAACAAAAACATACCTGGCTCAGGTGTGAAGGCTCTTACAAAGGAACTTTTGTTAAAATTAGAAATTTTGGTACACATAACTAACGGTAACAAGATATGGGAACGACAGTGGGATAACAGGGTTAAAGCTCATTCACACATGCTGGACACTACTGGACACTATTATCAAGTCATTTAGGCATGTATCACTGATTTGATCATCATCCCTTATTTAAAGATAAAGAAACTGAGGACAGAGAGGTTTATTAATTTGATTTGTTCTGTCATAATTAGTAATTGGCAGGGCTAATTTTCAAAGCCACATCTCATTCTAGCACCCAGACTCTGATTGTATCACCCCAGAAAATGGCAATCTCTGAGGTCTTATACGATCACATGTACAGAAATAGCTAGTCTTTTTAGAAGTATGAAGCCAGGATAGAACCTTTTAGCACCAGGATAGATGCCATGAAGCTTTCAGAACCCCTCTAGCTGCAAAGTGGGAGCCCTGGTGGCAGAGTGATTAACAGCTTGGTTGCTAACCAAAAGGTCAAGAGTTCGAATCCACTCGCCGCTCCCTGGAAATCCTATGGGGCAGTTCTACTCTGTCCTACAAGGTCACTATGAGTTGGAATTGACTTGACAGCACAGAACAACAGCTGCAAAGTGGAGTACAGACTGCACGAGGGGTCAAGGTTAAAGGCAGGAGTCCACAAGGGCAAAGATACTGCTGAAGTCATCCTGGTAAGAAAGGGCAGCAGCTCAAACAAAGGAGAGACTGTGGGTTTGAAAGAAGCAGACAAATTCAGAGCAACTAAGGAAGCCACACTGAGTGGAGCTGGGAATTGACTAGATGTAGTAGCTGAGGGAAAGAAAGAAATCAAGGATATCTCTCAGGCATTTGGTTTAGAAGCATTCACTGATTCAGTCGCATGAGCCAGTGAACAAAAACACGTCTCTTGCCCTCAAGATATTTATAATCTAGTGAGGAGATGGGGTGGGGGATGGATGATGAGTTGGGCTTTGGACCTGTTGATTTTAAAATACTTAGAGATGATCTAAGTGGAAAAGTCTAGAGACCAGCTGTAAATGAGATCTGGGATGAAGATATAAACTGGAAAGTTAGTAAATGGATGAGGGCACCCAGGGAGAGGATTTAAAGGAGATTCCAAGAGATATGAATAATCTCATAACGATCAGAGGAAGGTCACAGTGAGGTGTGGAGTTTTTCTACAGCACTCACACCTGATCCAGCCCAGGAGATTTAAATTCAGTGGAGAAACCCTGGTAGTACAGTGGTTAAGAGTTCAGCTGTTAACCAAAAGGTCAGCAGTTTGAATTCACCAGGCACTCCTTGGAAACTCTATGGGGCAGTTCCACCCTGTCCTACAGGGTCGCTATGAGTTGGAATTGACTCAACAGCAATTTTTTTTTTTTTTAAAGCAAAGGGAGGTAGAAGGAAAACCAGGCATAAGCGTCTAAAATGGTCAAACTAGTTTGCTCGTAAAATTTAAAAGATGTAAAAAAAAGTAAATGCTATTCAAACCAAAAGTAGTTTACTGACGCAGGGATGAGGACAGGGGTAGGGGAGTGAGAAAGATGGGTCGGGAACCCTAAGTGCCATTTTAGGAGTTACTTGTTTTCTCCATGACTCAGGTCACTGATGTTCATGAGTTTGAAGGGAATCGCCCCGGCAGTGGTGAGACAGGCAGATGGCAAAGAGGAAGCAGAGGTTAGGCTGTCACTGTGATGTTCACAGAGGCATCCAGACTAGAGATGAAGATCCCAACTAGAACAAGATGGGGGGACGGAGGATGGAGACAGACACAAGTGGCGTTACTGGGGTGGAATCACAGACTGCATGTGGGCAATGATATACCAGACTGTGGCCTCACCCAGCCTCCACTTCACATTTCTGTCAGAAGACAGTGGGCTTTGCCCAGAGTAGCTCTGTATGTACTAATGGCTGCATTGCCTCCCTTCTCTCATTGTCATACCAAAGATCCTCCTTTTCCTGTCTGTTCAATCTCTTCCCATTGATTCGTCATTCACCATATGGACAAGTGAACATTTCTCCATTACTTAAAAAAAAAAAAAAAAATCCATTGTCGTTGAGTCAATTCCAACTCATAGCAACCCTACAGGACAGAGTTGACTGTCCCATAGGGTTTCCAAGACTGCAATCTTTATGGAAGCAGACTGCCACATCATTCTTCTGTACAGCAGCTGGTGGGTTTGAACTGCGGACCTTTTGGTTAGCGGCCAAACACTACTTTGAAAAAGGAAAAAAAATGTTCAACTTGCTTCTTCCTTAGGCTGCCTTACCCATAATCTTCCCTTACCATCAACATTTCTGAGAAGCAGCAGCTATCCACACTGTTCCTATGGCAACAATGAAGAGCCCTCAGTTCCTGCAATGTGGTTCCTGCCTCATCATTCATCTGAAACCAGCTACGCTCTCAAAACGCCATCAGTGAGTTTGGCTAATCTATAAAAACCCAGGTTGGCCGCTTTGTCGTAATACAAGTATAAAGAGCAGAACAAGCAAAGTCTCGCTATATTTTGCGATAATCACTCTATGTTTGACCCTGGACACTGCACTTTAAGATGGGTGCTGAAAAACAGTCCAAGAGGAGAATAACCAGCAAAGGAGAATGAATGAGAGAAGGAATTCTATAACTTGAAAAGATGAAAACTTGTAAAAAGAAGGCCTGAGAGGTAATGACTGCAATTTAACTGAGAGATCGTTAATGTGGAAGAGTCTAGGAGGCAGAAGCAAGACCAATGGATTGAAAGTCAGTGCAATACAAAGAAGTAACTTTGAGTGGTTATTGAAAAACAAAAAAACTGAAAATGTTTATATAGAAATTGATGGCTACGTGTCAGATTCTGTGGTGCATGGATAGTAACATCAGGGCCATCTAGGAGCTTGTTAGAAATGAAACACTGAATCAGAATCTGCAGTTACTGAGATTGCCTGGTGATTTCTTTGACATCAAAGTTTAGTTTGAGAACACTGGTTTAAGGGACTCTTGAAATTATATGTGAGAGGTAGTGAATTAGGCCCCTGGTATTTGTTCCAAGTATTAATTTATGGAAAACAGAACTCACTATTCCAGACATGTCAAAGTTCTTTCATCCAATTTCAGCCTATCAAGTCAAAATATTATTTCTAGTTTTCAGTCTCAACTTGGACATTTAATTTTTTAATATTGTAAACAAAGCTTCAGCCAAAGTGAATCCAATGTAAGTACGAGGATCTATGAAGGATACCAATAGCTTCTCTAGCTTTCAATAATAAAGGCCTGCAGACAATGGTCTCCAGAAGAGATTCAGAATTAATTGTATAGAGCCTTAGTTAAATATAAATGATTATTCTCCACTTTTAATATGCATTCTTCATTCTCATAATGGCAAGAAAAATGCACATTTGGCTCTCAATCACTTATTGAGATTCAATAAGGCATTCATACACAACCATCTAAAACAGCTTACATGTAATTGGTTTCTGTGGAAACATTTCAAATTTTAACTGGTTTTATTAACTTAAGGATTTTGTTAAAAATTGATTTAAGATAGCTTACACTCACAATATAGCAAGATTCAATAAATGGGTAAAAAGAAAAATGTGGCAGAGGGTAGAAAAGTAAGATGGGTTTCTTTGGTTAGTTTCTAAAATGCATTATTGTGACGGCTAACCTTTTGCTAACAGAGAACTAGATATGGCGCCAAGTCTTCTAGCAACCAACTCAAATATGTAAGCAATTTAAGCTTAGGGGTGTGATATCTTCTAGAATGTACATTTAGTGTGTTATGATTAATGCCCCTAAACGTGGATAAAATAGACCCTGTAAAATATGTTTAAAATGTTGAACAAAAGATGCATGCTTTATACTAACTTCTAAGACCTATTACATATTTTAGAATGATTTAATGAATCACATTGATATAATTAAATTTCTTTTTCTAGAAAACTCCATACAGCCCTGCTGGCGTAGTGGTTAAAATTTTGGCTGCTAACCAAAAGGTCAGCAGTTTGAATCCACCAGCCACTCCTTGGAAACCCTATGGGGCAATTCTATTCTGTCCTACAGGGTCGCTATCAGTCAGAATCAACTTGACGGCAACAGGTTTTCTATACAGACTGAACAGCAGACTGACTCACTGTTGATAACTGGTAAAAATTTAAAGACAACCACATAAAAAATGAGAGTTAAGAGAGACCAGATTTACTGGCCTAAAGGAGACTGGAGAAACCTCGAGAGTATGGCCCCCAGACACCCTTTTAGCTCAGTGGTGAAGTTACCTCCGAGGTTCACT